AAGAGAAGGAGGAGTAGGAGGAAGAGGAGGAAGAGGAGGAACAAGAAGAATAAAAAGAAGAATAACGCAACGATCTCTGATCAATGTCTGTGCAACGTCAAAGAGGAGGAGGAAGAGGAGGAAGAGGAGGAGGAGGGGGAGGAGGAGGAGGAAGACGCAGACTCGGGGCGCCACCACCGCACTGCAACGTTTGCAGCGGGGCACGGAGGTCCCGCGGACACGCACGAACCCTCTCGGTCGCCTCTGGCAGGAGGGCAACCCCACGGTGCACCTGCACCGATCCCGGCCAGGACCGGTGTGTGTGTGTGTGTGTGTGTGTGTGTGCGACCCCCCGCCTGGGGCACGAAGGCATCTACGCCGGCCCTGGGCTCAGGAGCGGACCGGCCAGGAGCGGAGGAGGTGTGCAGCTGGCACCCTCCGGGTCCAGCCCGGATCGGCCAGGGGCGGCGCCAGAGGCGCCGCCAGGGGAGGCCCAGCGCAGATCCAAGACATCTGCGCGGATCTGCAAAAACTGATGTTTGTTTTTCTTCCGTGTTCCGTATCGCGCTCTCGACCCGCGGATCAAAAGTCTCTTCCGTGCCGAAGCACGCCTGCGCCGTCCAGGTCGCATCCCGTGGTGTGGCTCCTCGTCCGGGCTGTGCAATCCAAGTTAGACCCGAAGGGTTCCAGCTCCTCCTCCTCCTCCTCCTCCTCCTCCTCCTCCTCCTCCTCCTCCTCCGCCTCCGCCTCCGCCTCCTCCTCCTCCTCCTCGTCGTCCTCCTCCTCCTCCTCCTCCTATACACCTGCACCGATCCTGGCCAGGCCGATACTGAGCCCAGGATCGGCGTGTAGGCCGTCGTTCCCGAGCAGGGAGGGCGTATGCACCGATCCTGGGCCCAGTCTGGGCCTGGCAAGGATCGGTGCAGGAGTATCGCTGGTACAGTCGGGGCGTTGACCTAAGGAACCCTAAATAAGGAACGAGGCCCCTATTTTCCATAAGTTGAACTTCGATTTCGCATCGAAAACCTAAGGAACATCCAAGGCAAGCTGCGAAACAATTAAGGAACACGGGGCCGCTCCCCAACGAAAAGGGTTCCTTCTTCAGGGCCCCGACTGTACCCTCCGATCTAGCCTGGACCGAATTTTTGGTCGGCGGCCGCGAGGAGTCACGCAGCGTGCGATCGACGGCGGGGTGCAACTGAGGCGGATTGGGGCGCGGGGGGCAGGGGAGGAGCGCGCGGGGGCGCGGGTCGGGGAGGGACGGGGGGGAAGGGGAGGAGCGCGGGGGGGCGCGGGTCGGGGAGGGTCGGGGGAGCCACGCTCAGATCATGTAAGCTTTCACCACGTGCGTGCCCCAGAGGTCCGACGTCGTGATTTCTGCTTCGATACGGGGCCCCCGCAAAGTCTCGACCCGTTGCGCAGCACGGGCCCTCCATGACGAGCCGTTTGGCTCACAGCCCCGGGGGGCCCGACGGGGGCCCCTTGTGGGGGCCGAGAGCAGAGAAGACCTTCCGCCTTGATTTCTGTCAGTGCGTTGGATCTCCGCTTCTTGTTTGACATCCACGGTCAGGGGCCCGGTCGAAGGTGGGCAAAACTGGGCAGCTGGGCGGGGGCTGCCAAGACCGTGGCTGCTAACACGGCCCTCCCGGAAGGGGAACAAACAGCTTCCCGGAAGGAGGCGCGGCACGCGAAACAGTCACCGGGCCTCTTCCCGGAAGGACGAGGACCACTTCCCGGAGGTCGATCTCAGCAGCCACGGATTCGGCGGCGCTTGCCCGGCTTCCGAAACACGTGGACAGCTCCACCGTGACCCCCTTCCTGTAGGGGGCCACATGCGAATCCTACCCCTACCCCCCACGATTTCTGAGGGGGAGGGTGGGGTCCACTTCGCTCGGGTGGGGTTAGCACGTGGCCGCCTATTCCTGGTCGGAGGGGCTCCCTTGCCCAGCTGCCGCCAGCTCGCGCTCTTGTGCGGCCCCGCGAGGGGAGGAGGAGGAGGGAGGACGAGGAGGAGGAGGAGGAGGGAGGAGGAGGATGGAGGCGGAGGAGGAGGAGGAGGAGGAGGAGGAGGAGGAGGGAGGAGGTTCGAGGAGATGGAGGAGGAGGAGGAGGAGGAGGAGGAGGAGGAGGAGGAGGAGGAGGAGGAGGAGGAGGAGGAGGAGGAGGGAGGAGGAGGAGGAGGAGGGCTCGGCAAGCCGCTCACCCGAGGTGACGCAGCCGCAGCGCTGCGCTGGATCTCCGCGGCCGAGGTGCAGCGGGCTGCATGGTTTTCCCCTGGGCCGTCGGCGACCCGAGGAGGAGGAGGAGGAGGAGGAGGAGGCGGAGGAGGAGGAGGAGGAGGAGGAGGAGGAGGAGGAGGACCAGGAGGAGCAGCAGGAGGAGGAGGAGGAGGAGGAGGAGAGGAGAGGAGGAGGAGGTGGAGGAGCAGCAGCAGCAGCAGCAGGAGGACGAGGAGGAGGAGGAGGGACCAACTACCAGACCACCCCAACCCAACCCGAAGACCCGAATTTCGGGTTTTGGGGAGGGGGGGTACGGGTTTCACGTGTGTGTGTGTGTGTGTGTGTGTGTGTGTGTGTGTGTGTGTCTGTGTGTCTGTGTGTCTGTGTGTCTGTGTGTCTGTGTGTCTGTGTGTCTGTGTGTCTGTGTGTCTGTGTGTCTGTGTGTCTGTGTGTCTGTGTGTCTGTGTGTCTGTGTGTCTGTGTGTCTGTGTGTCTGTGTGTCTGTGTGTGTGTGTGTGTGTGTGTGTGTGTGTGTGTGTGTGTTCCATGTTCCCCGACCCCCCCCCCACTGGAAATGGAGGGCAAATTGAAGCCTTCAGGTTGGGTTGAGGTGGTTTGGTGGGTGGTGACCTCCCTCCTCGAGCCGTGAGGGCGCCGCCATCCTTCCTCCCTCCCTCGACTTCACGGTTTCCCCCGGGCCGTAGGCGACCCGAGGAGGAGGAGGAGGAGGAGGAGGAGGAGGAGGAGGAGGAGGTGGAGGAGGAGGAGTGATGAGGAGGAGGATGAGGAGGAGGAGGGGAGGATCAGAGATGGAGGAGGAGGAGGAGAAGAAGGAAGAGGGAGAATGAGGAGGAGGAGGGAGGAGGAGGAGAGAGAGGAGGAGGAGGAGGAGGAGGAGGAGAGGAGAGGAGGAGGGAGGAGGAGGGGAGGATCGAGGAGATGGAGGAGGAGGGGAGGAGTAGGAGGAGGAGGAGGATGAGGAGGAGGAGGAGGATGAGGAGGAGGAGGCAGAGGAGGAGGGAGGAGGGAGGAGGAGGAGGAGGAGGAGGAGGAGGAGGGAGGAGGAGGGGAGGATCGAGGAAGTTGGAGTGTAGGAGGAGGAGGATTGAGGAAGGAGGAAGAGGAGAGGGGAGGAGGAGGAGAGGAGGAGAGGAGGAGGAGGAGGAGAGGGAGAGGAGAGGGAGGAGGAGGAGGGAGGAGGAAGAAGGAGCAGGAGGAGGATGAGGAGCAGGACCAGACAGTAGAGGAGCAGGAGGAGCAGGAGGAGTAGGAGGAGTCAGGAGAGGATGTAGAGGAGGCGAGCGGATAGGAGGCGGAGTGAGGAGGGAGGAGGAGAGGAGGAGGAGAGGAGGAGGAGGAGGAGGCGGCAGGGAGGAGGAAGGAGGAGGAGGAGGGGTCGCCTGAGCCCTTCGGAGGAACCCTCCACAGCAGGCAGCCACCGAAGCTTGGACCACCCAGCCCCGGGCGAAGAGCCGAGCGGTGGGCCGCGGCAAGCGGCGCCGGCCGCGGGCACGCGCGTGCGCGAGGCTGCGCCGGCCGAGGGCTGGGGAGCGAGCCCCGGCCCTCGGCCGGCGCCGCTTGCCGCCTCACCTTTTTCCAGGCCCAGACCCCCTCGAGTAATGAAGAAATCATGACGGGAGGTTTTTCGCCGTTTTCGGCCTCTGGGGGCCCTCACCGGGCCTCGGGAGCGTCAAAAAACGACTCAGGAGGACAAACCGGTCCTGGGGAAGGGGTCGAGAACTCTGGGGTCGACGTAATGAAAAATTCATTACGTCGGGGGTCTGGGGACGCCTCACCTTTTTCCAGGGGTGGGGAGATCTGAAGCCGCGGGGAAGGAAAAATATGGGCGGCCCTACGCGGGCTATCCTTCCCAGAGATCCGACATCGTGATGTTTTCAATGCGCGGTCCCCGTAAGTCTTGACCCATCCCCATGGACCGTTTCTTCATCCGAGGTCGTTCTTCGACGGTCCCTGGGCCCGGCGAGGGCCCCTAGATGCCGAAAACTGTGAAAAACCTCCGTCCTGACCTTTCCAATACGTTGGATCTCTGGGTTCGAAAGACGAAAACCCAGAAAATATAACAATTTTGGGGGTATCCTGGGATTTGTGTGTATTTATTTGCGTGTCTTTCAAGGTGCTCCGGGCCCCCGGTGCCCCCAGCTGTCCGCTCCCGCCCGGAGAGCCCCTGGGCCCCTCCGGGCCTCGCGATGGGGGTGCTCTGCAGGCCGCGGGGGACCTCCATGGAGATCCAGGGGGCACCTCGGGCCAGGGGCACTTTCTAGCAACACCCGACAGGAGGGGGGTGATGACTACAATTAGGTCGGGCGTGTCCCCCTACCGGCGGATGTTGGACGAAAGATTAGAAATACCCCCAAAATGCCCCCAAAGTGTGAAAAAATGGTGGACAAATCGTCCCCATACTATTTTTTTACTATTTGTGAATATTCCCCCTGTAGACGGACAGGCCCGACTTACGACTACAGTCAAGTCGCACAGCACGGATGAGCAGCTTTCCCGGGCTGCCCTTGCATCCTGGCCCCTCCGGCCCATCAATTTGGCGACTTTCGCCGGCCAGCCCCGTTCGGAAACACCAGAATGGCCCTCCAAGGGACCTGCATCCTTACCGCGTAGCCCCATGATGCGACCTGGGGGCACCTCGGGCCAGGAGCACTTCTAGCAACACCCGAATCGTGCCAGATCGAAGCGGACCAGAAAGGCCTCGGCAAGCAACGAATCCGATGGCCGAGAAAGAGAACAAGACTGGCGTGGAAGCGCGGTCAAAAGATTGCAACATGGTCGTGCCTTCTTCAACAGCTTCACGATCACCGTGCAGACGAGAGGCACGTGCCGCGGGAGTATTCCCCTGAGGCATCGCGCGACTTGTTTCACAGCCGTTCCCCAAGCCGCGCATTGCACACTATTTTACAACCTTGCTCGTCATCCTCTCTCCCCATCCCTCTCCGTGCTCCATCCCCTTTATTCCTTATCCGTAACTCCCCCCTGTTGCACCCCAGACGTTTTTTAAGGACGAGGGAGCGCGAACAAAAAGCTTCACCCGACTCGGCCTCGATCGCTGTGCGAATCGAAAGGTCGCCAGGCAAACCCGGAGCATCACACGCGTCGACCTGCGATAGGTAAGCACATGCGCTGAACCGTGGCCTGAAGGATGAGCGAGCGTGCCGCATGCGAAACGAGAGAAAAAAGAGAGGAGATGGGGAGCGCGCCAGGGAGGGAAAGAGGGAGAAGAAAAGCGAGATGCCAGATGCCTGACGTGGCCGAACGCCAGCTGGCACTGGACACGAGCTGCACAAGCACCGCCGGGCACGCTCCGCAAAGTGGGCAGAACAGCACAAAATCCACAAGCCGCTCCGGCAGAGCGGGTAGGGCGGGCGAAGGCAGGGCCTCGCCACGGCCACGCACCTCGGCCACACGGTGGGGCGCAGCGAACTGTCTTGCGAGGGGGAAAAAGAAGGAAGAAACATGAGAAGGAGAAGGAGGGAATTGAGCTTGCAAAGCCAGAGGAGGATTAGGAGGAGGAGAGTGGAGGGAGGCGGAGGAGGAAGGAGGAGATGAGGAGGAGAGGAGGAGGAATGAGGAGGAGGAGTATGTAGAGGAGGAGTGGGGGGGGCGGGAGGGGGGGGAGGAGGAGGAGGAGGATGAGGAGTGAGGGGGGGGGGAGGGGGGAGGAGGTGAGGAGGGGAGGAGTAGGAGGGAGGGAGGGGTAGGAGGTAGTGAGGAGTGAGGGTGAAGATGAGGAGGAGGAGGAGAAGGGGAAGCAGGGCACCAGGCCAGGGTCTGCTGCTCCAGGCGGCGGTGTGCAGCGAAAGCCCGCACCCCAGAGAGTGGCCGGCCGCACCCCCAAGAGGTGTCGGCGGGGCGGGCCGGGCCCGTCTCCTCCACCCGCCGGCCAGAACCTTGAAGCCTGAGATCCGCGAGCGCCGCAGGGGACCCAACCGGGACCTGCATCCCGGACAACCCCTCCCCGCCAGGGAAGTGATCCAAGGGAGGGGCTCTCCGCCGAGCCGGTCACGACGCTGCTCGACGTCCGTTTGGCCGGATCGCTCGAGGGCGGCGAGCTTTCAAAACGTATGTCTCTCGCCCCTGCGCCGCGCGCATGCGCCTCAAAGGTCTGCAGCGGCCTCAAGGGTGGAGGGTGGCCTCTTGTCAGAATGCGGTTCTCGTCGGAGCGCCGCGCAGACTCGTCGTGAGAGCTTGCGGCTGCTTCAAAAATGGAGGGTGGCCCGTCTTCAACATGTAGCTCTCGCTTCAGCACCCCGCGCAGTCGTCTTGACAGTTTGCGGCATATTCAAAGATGGATGGCCGCTCCTTTTCTAAAAAAAATTCGGCTCTCGCCTCAGCGCCGCACGCATGCAGCTTCAAACACTGCAGCAGGTTCAAGGAGCCGTATGACTGAAGTCCAAGGACTGGCGTTCTTGCGCGATTCATGGTTGTCAGGATAAACAGTGATCTTGATCCGCGGTGCTGAAGTCCCGGGAATGATGTTCTGGCACGGCTAAGGGTTGCCAGGACGCAACAGCCACGTTGATTCGGGGCGTTGAAATCCCAAGACTGGTGCTTTGACACGACTGTGGATTCTCAGACAGTTGTTTTCGACTGGGGCACTTCCCATAATGAGCATAACTTAATGTAGGGACCTATAAAAGGGCAACTTGGAAGAAGGGTGTATTACACCGTCGTTGATGCGTCGTGGGTTTGCACTGGTCCCCTCATCCCCCTGCTCGCTCCTGTTCCTCCTTCGTATCCTCGTCATTCCGGCCACGGATGTATGATTTCTCATACGCCTGTGGCTATGCCGATCCTCTATGATATCCCAGAACCTCCCATACAAGTGGTTCACTCGCTCAAGATCTTCCAGGATTTGCCTGGATCCCCCAGACTCTACAAACACCCTCCCGCATGTGGATCCCGCAGGTGCTGACCTGGATGCATTCCTGCTGACGTATCTTCGCGCACGCTTGCCAGCTTGCACGCATGAGTGCCTCCAGACTTGCATTAGCATACTCCTGCGTGCTCGCACGCATGCTGTTCAACGCAGAAGGTCGTCCGCATACCCGTACCCACGAATGTCACGCAGCTGATGTGCCTGCAGCCCAGGTTTCTGTCCTTTTGCCAGTCCTTCCGAGCTTCCAGAAACAGGCCGAGTTTTCTCCACCGACACACTGGCGGAAGTAGCTGAGATGGTGTGGCCAGAGCTTCCCCAAAAACTCACAACGCAAATCGTCTGCCTAGGGTTAAGTCGGGCCTGTCCCTCTACAGGAGGAATAATCAAAAAGAGTCAAACAAATCCGGGGGACTAATGTTTGACTAATGGTTGACTATTCGAGGGTATGTTTGGAGCATTTTTATTCTTCACCCAAGAACCGCCTGTAGGGGGACACGCCCGACCTAAGCCCAGGGCCCGCTGTGGGTGCCCCAACAGGCACGACGGCTGCCTGCAGTCCGTGGCGCACGCTGGGCTACACCACGCCCTGCACACGTCGCTGTGACGTGCATCCTGTCGCCAAGCAGTGCCTGAGCCCAACGTGGGGCTTGACGAGGAGAGGAGGCAGTGGAGACAGAAAAAGACTGGGAGGGGGAGGAGGAAGGATAGGGGCAAGGACGAGAGCGAAGGGAGGGAGAGAGACGGGGAGGGGGAGAACCACGACAGGCTACTTGTTCTGGTGTGTGCCTGCCTCTCGCCGGCGCTGTTCCTCGCGTGCTCCCGCGGGCAAGAAACATGGCGCATCGTTATGCCGCTCCGTCTCCTCTCCCTCCTCCACGCTTCAACACACTACCCCCTAACTCTCGCAGCCCCGCTGCCCTGCGCTTGTGACGCCCCCCCCCCCCCGGGGACCCCGGGTGACGTAGACAGGCGATGTCGAATAGCGTCGCGGCTTGGAATCCAGCTGGAGGAAGAAGTCTGACAGCCTCCCCATCTCAAACTGGCACTCGGACGCGTAAGCTTTCCATGGTGCACGTGGAACAGCAGCCGCCTCAAATGGCCTCTTCGGCGAGAGGGCGAACCACTTCCCGGACTGCCTGTAGCCTGCCACACTGCGGCCGAGCTGAAGAATTGGATGCGCTGCCGTGCAGTCTGGCAGGCTGGCGCTGGACACCCGGACTGCTGAGGGGCCCCTCTTTTGCCCCAAGGTCTCCCCCCCAGGAGATTTCCCAAGGTCTCCCCCCAAGGTCTCCCCCCCAGGAGAGTTGAATTAGATGCGCTGCCGTGCAGTCTAGCAGGCTAGCGCTGGATACCTGGACTGCTGAGGGGCCCCCTCTTTTGCCCAAGGTCTCCCCCCCCGGGAGATTTCTCAATCAAGCGGCCTCGCCCGACGACGAGTCCGCCGGCCCCCTGGAGACGCCAGGGCCCCGAGGAATCCTGCCGGATTGGACTGTCTTGCTGCGTGCTGCCTTCTCTTTGCAGCCGGGCTTGATTGGAGAGGACACGCGGGAGGACACAAGACCCTTTCGAGGGCCACATCGCCACAGGAGTGCACGAAGCATGGGTCGCGAGACACAGGACACAAGGGTACCCTTGACCTGACAGGGTCGACCTACTAATCCGGGCCGCCTGTATTGCCCGTTGTTTCTCCAATCCTCTCTGAGTTCAAGCGTCGACGTACTGGGAAGGGCCTGCGGCGTCCAAAACAAAAAAAACTGGGAAGGATGTCTCTTCTCCTGCCCCTCTGGGTAGTGTCAGGGTTCCCACAAGAGCCTCACCAGACGGCCAGGGGAGCCCAAGAGGCCTCCAGGACGCCCAGGCCCTATGAGCGCTTCGAAAGCCCAAGACAAGCGAGGATGGCCCCAAGATGCCTCTCAGGTGGCCCAGGAGGGCCCGAATGTACTCCCGAGGAAAGGAAAAACATGGGACACACAGAATTCAATGTTTTCAATCTCGTTTGCCTGTCCCAGGTCTTGTTCCCTGGATGTCCCAAGCTCGCTTCACGACGGCCTAATTCAACGCAGCCTTCTTGCTCCTCCTCCTCCTGCTCCTCCTCCCCCTCCTCCTTTATTTCCTCCTCCTCGTCCTCATTTTCTGCCTCCTCCTCGTCTTCTCCCTCTTGCTCCTCGAAGTCGTTGTCCTCCTCCTCCTCTTCCTCCTCTTCCTCCTCCTCATCCTCCCCCTCCTCCTCCTCCTCCTCCTCCTCCTCCTCTTTCTCCTCTTCCTCATCTCCTCATACCAACCTGCGGATGCTGGGAGGTAGACCTAAGCATCTTGCTGCGGACCTGATGTCCTCCGCGACGGACCTCTTGATTGCACCACTGACCCCTGCAATCGAGCTGCTCGCTCTGGCTAGAGTTTGGCACCATCCACTTACTTGCAGCCACCCCCCCTCGCTGGGACCGCAGCGGCATCCGCCGACCCTCCTTCAGCAGGTCTCCCGCGCGCATCTCCAAACATTGCTCCCCGCAGCTGATGCAAACTGTAAACAAGTATTTTCGCCTTTAGGGGGCAAACAAACCTGCCTCGCTTTTGACCACCCTCGCTTCCAAGAGACACCAAGCGATGCCAAACTACGGCCTGTACTGGTCAGGCCGCCTGACGAGGAGGCACGTGGTATAACTTGCTTATGCCTGGAAGCGAAAGCGGGGCAGGTAATTCACGCTCTGAGTCTTACAACACCCGCGCGCGCTCAACGTCTGCCTTGCAGAACTGAAGGGGCCCAGGGACACACAAATCAAAACACACAAATAAAACGATTCCCCATATTTTCCTATATTTTTGGTGTTTTTGTCTTCCCCCCCACTTCCCATATTTTCCCATATGTTCTGGGGAATCGCCGATTAATTGTGTCTGTGTG